TGTACTCGAATGCCTTTCCTTTCATATATTTTAAATAACCTGCAGATTTATAACTGTATCATTATGACTGTAACAAAAGATGTGTGCCGCACACTGATGCTCCTTTGGTTATGAACAGCTCGTGCAAACGTGCGTGTATGCGTGTGTGTGAGCGCGCACGCAGTTTCGCTTGTCGCCAGAGGGGGCATAGATCTGCAAAAACTCAGATACTTGCGTTTTGCTCCTTTAAGTATGTTTTTGAGGATAAATGTTTTATTATTATTAATCCATAAATATTCATATAATATTTTTGGAGTCGAATATTTTACAGCCTGAACTAAGTGAAACTTTTAAGGTTTTAAATCTCTTAAAATGTGAGAGATATTGTCCAGACATTTTAATGTGAGACTTATTGACCTTGACACATAATCGTGAGGGACTTCAGGATATATTTATATATTTTCTGCATGTTTCTGCATGTCAGTTGCATCACATGACTTTGACTTGGTGATCGAATTTTAATTATTAAAATATTTTTCTTAAATAATAGTAATAATCAATTAATGAATAAACAAATAATAAATAAATAATGTCAAACCAGGGTTTTTTCAAGAATTTAATGATTTTAATGGAGATTTTTCAAAATTATTATACTTTGTTAAATAATAAAAAAAAAAAAACATTTTAATTCAGAAATTAAAAGCATGCTCATCACAGAGGAGGTGTAGTCAGTTCATGTTTATTGTATTTTTGAGGATTGACTTGTCATGTATTTGACCCTTTAACAACACTTTGGATCTTTGCATGTTTACTTTTTGATAAATAACCTTTATTTACCAACACAGAGGAAAATTTGACCCAAACTGTTCAGTTGCACGTACAGATGAGAAAGGCTAGGAATACGTGCGCTTCATCATGTCCACAATCAATATTTCTTTCAAAAACAAACTCACAAATGGTCTGTTGTCACAGATCAATCTTCATACTTCAGATCCGCTGTCTCTATGGGGCATGTAGAGATTCTGCTTCGTCATTGTTGGCTGATGTAGTGGAAATTTCTACACAGACAGTGTTTGCTTTACATGTGTTGTCTAATACAGTGAGTCCAAGGCTGTTTCTGTATACAGTATGTGAAAATAATAATGGGGAACACATGATCAAAGTGGCCTCTGCAAGTTTTTTTTGGATACTAGGTTAAAATACATTTATATTCATTGTCTTCTTGTGGATCTTAAATACCCCCAGGAACTGCTGTGTTGTTGTTACTACACGGGTCAGGTCAGACAGCCGGTAAAGATCAACTAGGATTCAGGAAGGAGGTGGGAAATCAGCCTGTATTGGTTTCCAAGTCTTGTCAGCTGTGACCCTCCACAACAGGCCGATGTTGTGCTGTGATGCGCCTGTGTGTCCTTCTCCAGACAGATTCAGAAACACACCTTGCGCTGCAAAAAAATCATTTTATTAAGCGGTTTCGCAAACATTTACAAGGATTTTCAGATATTTTTACTGGAAAATAAGATACTGATTCATTTTGTATTATTTGTACAACTGTCCCGTGATTCAGAGTTGCTAAACATTACTTGTTCCATTTGTTTATTTGGACTGGATTGAGGATTCTTCTTGTGCATTCATACGTGTTGTCTTGTTTCATAATCAATGGATATAATGTGTCGTGGACAGCGAGGTGTTGAACCCTGTGCATCCATTGAGAATATATTGTAGTTTGGATTGGAAGCATGATATGGGGTTTGGTTTTTGCCGGTTAATGGCTCAGCTGGTGTCCATGGGCACATTTCCATTAGAGCGGACACTGGCATTTCTCCTACACTTCACTTGACTCGTCATGAGGTTGAAGTCATGTGCATGTGTGCCCACGTGAGTGTCTAGGTTTACACTGAATAAATATAGTAGCTGTTTCACACACCTTAATACGCAAATAATGTAGTAAAATACAGTCTCAGTCAAATGCATGCTATGCGCTTAATCTTGTTTACCATGGAATCACTGCTAGATTTTGTCTCGTTTCTATTGAAAAATAAATAAATACATTTAAATGAAAGAAATTAAAAGTAAATTTGGTTGAAGTAAATCAGATATTAGAAGATTTTCTTCTTCAGTATTTCTGTCTTGTTTTCCGGTACAACGATATCTAAACATTCTTACATCAAGACACATTCACTGGAGAACCAAAATGTAAAAAAAATAAAAAAATACTACTGCTAAATAGTAAATACCTGTCAGTGAGTTATGAAAACTTCCCTTTGAATTGAGTTGATTTGTCTGACTCCACTGACAGATATTTCTTGTTTTAATCAGAAACTGGAACTCTCTTAAAAAACAAGACAAAAACATTTCCAATCAAAAAAATGTTTCTTCTTTTTTTTTTGTAGGAGGTACAGTAAAACTTATGTCCATAATCTAGTGGTTGGGAGCAGAGTCATTCAAGCTTTTTTTTTTTTTGTAAAATGAATTAAACAAAAGTAATGGATATCTGTTGGAAGTTGTATTTTCAAGCTTTGAAGTGTTGCTAATACAACTCATTGTTTTTCTCCCTAGACATTTAGAGAACATTGATGTATTGCATTTTATTCAATTTATTCCTTAATTGTCCTTAATTATTCCTTCCTTTTGTCATAAAATATCTTTAAAAAGTCTTTAATTTACCTTCATCAAACCTGCAGAAACCCTTTATGCTTTGTTACTAGTTCTGTTTGATGACGGAGCCATGACAGTATGAGTTTTAAGCTTAAAACAAGACAAAAACTATTAGGGCTGTCAAACGATTAATCGCGATTAATCGCATCCAAAGTAAAAGTTTGTGTTTATATGATATATGTTCGTGCACTGCTTGTATATATTTAAGAAATATTTTCATATACTGTATATAGATTTATATATAAATTAAATATAATATAAATATTTTATATACAAATATTTTTTTCTTAAATATACATGCATGTGTGTATATATACAACCTTTATTTTGGATCTGATTAATTGTGATTAGTTTTAGATCACGAGCAGTTTTGCTTCTCAACCAAATTGTAAACGTGTATATATTTTTACTGGAAAACAAAACACAAAACTTTTTTTTTTTTTTTTTTTTTTTTGCAGGCTCTTGACTAATATGCTATAATCCTTCTCTATCCCTTATGAAAAATACTCACCTTACATGTGAAAAATATCAATAAAAAATATAAATGTACGTGACCAGCAAAATTACATATAGTATTACAAGTTTTTGTAAGTACACCTTTACTATTTTGTCATAGATTTTTCTCCCTTGTTTTAAGTATAACCCCCACCTCTCATTCCCTATGCAATTTTTAACCAGAAAATGACTCTTATTTTAGGGATATAAGCATGTTGATATATTTTTACTGGAAAACAGGACAACTTTTTTTGCTGTGTATTAACTAAAATGTAGTCCTTCTAACAGTCTGTATGTTTCTCCAATGGGAACGCTTGTTACTGCACTCGTCTGTGCATGTTGTGTCAAGGGCAGAATCAGGAATGATTGTCGCACAGCGGCTGAGAGAGCGCTGCGTGCGTTCGTTGACTGAAGAATCAGGTTTCACATAGCCTCAACAGCTGGAGACAAACAGCTGGGTAAGATTTTTGCTGTTCTGCTTCGGGCAAATCTACAGAACGGAGAGATCAGGTATAAGTTTAGAAAGCTGGCTGGCTTCCCCTCGCAGATAGAGCTGGAAACTGGGCTTGTCTGCCAAGCACTGATTTATGACAGTGCTAGAAACAGCTCGTCTACCATCGGTAGTCGATGTTAGTGCGCAGTTTTGTCAGCTCTTAAGCATCTGCAGTTTATTTTAGATTGGCTGTGTTTGTCGCTTGAAGGTAAAGTGTGTCGTCACTTTCTCCAAAAAAATGTGCAAAAGTGCTCGAATGCCAAGTCTGGCATTGGTTAGCCTTCTCCATGTCACTGCTGTAAGAAATTAAAGGCTTGAGTGCAATGCCATTTGAACCGTTGTCCTTAAGACCCCTCGAGCTGCCTTAAGAATTCCCTCTAGAGCGTCTGAATCCATTTGAGTAGGTAATTCCTTTGAATGGGATTGTTATCTCCTGCCCGGCAATGCACTTGAAGTGCCTGGCCACAGTGATTGTGATATCAAGCAAATGAAGTGCATCCAAACAGCTGCCCTTCAACCTCTCGAAACGCCTTAGCAACCACATAACAACGCCCTGGAAGGTCTTTTGACCTCGACCCGACCTTGAGATCACCACAATCGGGTAAGCAATCTGTCTTTGGTGGGTTTCTTTGACAAGTTCGCATGGCAGGACGAATGAGATCACATTCCCGTGATGAAGCAGGCCAAAGCCTTTGAAACGCTCCCCTCGTGTCTGAATAAAACGCTGCGATAACTGTGCCTGGGGTTTCTGTGGCAACCCCTCTTAAACACGTTACTTCTTTAGCATTGCTCTGAATGGATCTTCTTCTAGCCAGTGTTTCACAGAGGCCAGGTTGCAGTTTGCATACCAAGTAGATATTGAGTCTACACAGTGATGTGTAAAATAGCAAAATAACTGCTATTGTTTCTTCTTTTTAATCATTGAACTTTCAAGTTGCTCTAAAATTATTGTAACGTTTTGAATATACAAATACATTTTGATGACAATGGACTTTAGTCAGGGTAGCAGAACCATATTCAATTTTGACAATAATGAGAACAAGACTGTGAGGGATAGAATTACAGGATGTTCAATGGATTGCAATGTTTAACAACTTTCATTCAGTGGAAAAAACTCCATAAAACAAATTAAAATTGCGTGATCCAGGACATTTATTCAGTGCGTGCCATTGTAAAGACTGTAAGTCTATCCCTCACAGCCGCCCGTTAAATTCAATAGCGTCTGAAATCCCTGGTTGTTGTTTTCATCTGGCTTTAATCATTTAACCAATAATCCCAGTTTAATGTAGGGATTGTGTCTTGCAGTTATTTAAAAGATATGAAACAATATTTTCTTCACTCAGTCTTCACCTTTCTTGTCATTGTTTTGTCTTCGCAGACGGATGAATGATTCAAAGCTTGCCGTGGTCCAGCGCTATGGTAGATATGCCGAGCCTGTACAGTCCCTTGTCCCCGCTGGGCGATCAAATCCTGGACAGCCCTCTGTGTGGAGAACTCATCGGTGACATGGAGGTGCTCGTGGACATCTCTCAGTCTCTCAGCGACGATACTTTCAACTTTCACGTGCTGGAATACCAGAGCTGGAACACATTAGTAGACGACTCCACTGTCTTAGGTAGAGCATTTGGACACACGCAATCCGAACAATAATCCCAACCAATCAGGTCTATAAAAAAAAAGGGTTTCGTTTCACTTTTGGTCCCTTTAACACATTCTGTCGACTATAAGTAACTTTGCACGGCACCTACATGTCTACTAACTCTCAGTAGAGTATTAGAAGAGTATTAGTAGACTGGTAGGGTTAGAATAACCACAGAAACATCTAGGTGAAAAGTTACTGATCTCATGAAATGGCGAATGTATGACACGCCAATTCGCATTTCCATTTTTGGCGTGCTATCAACACGCATAATCGCTTTTCAGCCTGTTTATGAACGCCGTTGACTTAACGTTACATTACTGAATATATAAATCTACTAATACTCTAATGAGAGTTAGTTGACATGGAGTTGCAAAGTTATTTTTAGTCAACAGAAAGTTCAAAAGGGACCATCAAAATAAAGTGTTGACAAAAATTTTGTGATTGTATATAAACAGCCAGACATAACTTTGGACATGCTTGACAATTTTAACATCATTTTGATCAAAAGGCTTATCCATAAATTTTGTTGTCATGTAATTAAATTACTTTATTAATATTATTAAAATTGTACATATTGTTGTTAAATACAAATTTGTGCCAACTGTATGAATTTATTAAATGAAACAAAAAAATGAAGGAAATGATGAAGAGTTCAGATGCAAAAGCCTCTAAGTGCCATTTGAAATTTTCTTCTAGAATGATGATTTTTATCAAGCTTGTATATTTAAGTTCAGTGATTTCACTTAAATGGCAATGATAATTACCTATTAATTGTTATTTAAGTGAAATTACTGAACTTAAATATACAAGTTTGATAAAAAAAAATCATCATTAAAGAAGAAAATTTCAAATGGCATTTAGAGGCTTTTGCATCTGAACTCTTCGGATATACCCACACTTTTATTTGTGCTAAATCAGGACATCATCTTAAATGCATAAATCTGTGATATTGAGCGTGCACATGTGTGTTTGTCTTGTAGATGTCTTATCCCCGGCATCCAGTCCGTCCTCAGAAGCGTTCGCGGCCAGCACAGGTCAGGACGAGAACTCCTCCGGTTCTCTCGCCCTCGAGTGCCGCGTCTGCGCCGACCGGGCCTCAGGCTTCCACTACGGAGTGCACGCCTGCGAGGGATGTAAGGTAAGCGCACATGCATAGTGTACAGTGGAAAATTCTCACACGAGGGCCAAGAGTCAATATCGAAGCACCCTGCTTGCCAGTAGTACAGACTCTGTGTTACACTTTCATAACCACAAATCTGCCCGGGACAGAAAACACTTGAGCGAGCACACCAGTGTCAACAGAGAGCACGCAAGTTTTGGGAGTATTTTCATAGCTACTTTTGCAAAAAGACTGAGAGTTCCCCCGAGGCTGTACATGTCAGGTGAAGCGTGTAGAAGAGCTGTTGCTACATGTGGTGCATGTCAAAATCAGAAGGACTTAGTGCGTACCTCCGCACCACACAGCCCAGCTGACTCGAGCCTGGGTCACAGCCATTCCCTTTCCTTTAAAGTTAACTAGTCCAGTTATTGCCATGTGTTTTTGTCCAGCAAGGGCAGACTTTGACCGTTGGCCCCCCCCCCCTCAGGGTGCAATTAAACTGGAACAGTTACACCCGAAGGTTGACTGCTAATGCAGTTTACCACTTTTTCACGTTGCACTTTAAAATATACGTTATATGTGTTTTGATTTAAGGAATCATGGTAGTTGTAGTTATGCTACTTTTAAAATGAAATGCTAATTAAAAAACATATTTTGTGTGGAACTAGTCATACATAATCAGGATCTCTCTGGACTGATTAAGTGTATTATTCAGTTCAGTTCACTGGTTTCAAGTTACACGTGGCTCTGGTTTAACTCATTATCATGTTAGTTAAATATACAGTTTGAGATTTTCACAGTGTCCTCCTAACTAGGAGCAATATGATAAAGCGCTAAAAGCTATTCTTTCAAGTGAATCTGCAACAAGTAAGGGACATTTTGTCCGTCAAGTATTTTGTTTCTGCATGGCATTGAGCTCTGTAGCCCCTCCCACTTTGGTTATGATTACGTTACTGTTGATCATCTGGCGGTCTATCATCATATAAAGCCCGCCCTGACAATTTGATTGGTCCGAACAGCTTTGATTCGGGTATACTTGCTTCACAACGGATAAAGTCCAGATCGAACTTCCCAACCTCAAATGTTGTGGGCGGGGCTTAGTTCAGCTGGCATCCAGGCTAAGGGCACACGGGTGAACAGGACAGAACCAAACACACAAACAAACAAAGTAAAAACAGAGCATACATGTTATAAGTATTGAGTGCTGCAGCTTTAAGTCCTAAAACTCAGATTTTGTGAGATTTTTTTTTTTTTTTTTCATGAATCTCAGAATTTTATTTTTTGCACTTCTGGTTCGCTCATCCTGAAGTCATTTTTTAATGTGTTATAAATACCTGAAATTAAGTGGTGTCTGTTTCCGCAGCAATTTCAATTCTCATATTTTTAGGTCAAAGGTTGTTCGTCTATCAGTCATATAATGGAGGTCTACGTTCACCACCTCGAAGAACATGCACAGTGAAGTCCAAATTAAACACGATTCAATGACTCGTAAATGTAAGTACACATCGATGGCCTAAGACACGAAACGAGCGGTTTGTGTGAGAAAACGAACAGTATTTATATCGTTTTTACCTCTTGTAACCACAGCCACGTCCAAGAGATCTGAGGGCGCGGGCGCTTCTGTCTGCGCAAGCGCCGGAAGTGATCTCTCATGCATATAGGTCACTCATTGTTTACACACAACAGAGATTGTAGGTAAGACGCCTTATAAAAATGGTACTAATTTGCGCTTATCCCGGATGTTTAGATCTTCACGGTGAAAGTGAACACTTCCGAAATCTGTGTAAACAACGAGTGACGTACATGCGCGAGAGATCACTTCCGCCGCTTGCGTAGATCAGATTGGATTGCGTACCTCAGATCACTTGGACGTGGCTGTGGTTACAAGAGGTAAAAAAAACGATATAAATACTCGTTTCGTGTCTTAGGCCATCAATGCATACTTACATTTACGAGTCATTAAATCATGTTTAATTTGGACTTCTCTGTGCATGCTCTTTGAGGTGATGACCATAGACCCCCATTATATGGCTGCCCTAAAAATATCAAAATTGAAAATACTGTGGAAACAAAGACACCTACATCTTGGATGCCCTTGAGGTGAGCTAAAACAAACCAAAAATTTATTTCAAAAGTGAACTATCCCTTTAACACAAGTTCAAGGAATTTTCACATCGTGTTTTACCTACGGCATGAAATATATCAGTGAAACTACACTCATTGTGTTATTAGGCTTTTTCAAGTCCTGAAAAAGGTGGTTGTTAGCAAAACTTTTCTAACTTTCCAACTTGTAGATTTTGAATAAAGATTAAAAGATTTGTCAGAGGCTTAGTGGTGGTGACATTGAAGTCGTGTGACCATTGTGTAGGTGTTGTTTATTGTCTGACTTTAGCATTTTACTTCTGGCAGTTGTATTTACAAAGGCATCGGAATTCATTGAAGTTTCTCATTGGTGAAGATTACCTTGATGAACAAAACGTGTAAGAATTATATATTTTTGTAGCTGATTTTCTGCAAAAATCAAAAAGCCAATCATAGCGATTCTTCCTAGAAATATACGCCAGCACTGCAGAACTCTGTAATGAGTGTAATGAGAAATGAATAATCACCCAAATGTTCAAAAATCTGCAAAATTGTTAATTTTTTCACGTGTAGAATCTTATTGTAAAGTGTTTCTTAAGGGTTTATTTGCCCTGAAAAAAATCAATTCTACATGATACATTTAACATTTGAGCTTGTGTTTTCTTTTGGGGTAAATCTGGAAGAATAAATTAGTCATTTGCAGCGTGCAGATATTATATTTGAAACTTCACTTCCCACAGCTTTTGAGAAGAGTAGGAAATAATGCTTTGTGCTATAAAGGTTGGTATTCAGAGCTGTTCCCTCAGTCCGGTTTTATCGTTTGGCCTGTTCGGTGTGTAGAGATGCGTCATCAGTTCTGTTTTTAGCTTTGGAGGTGATCCGTGACAGTCTGTCATGAGTTCTCATCTGATACCGTTTCCATTGTTAGGCACGTGTTCTGCTTTTCCCTGTTAAATAATTAGCCTGGAGGGACACCAAATGGGCTTTAACCGTGACCCTACCATTCTGATGAAATGATGACAAATATCATTCACTGCGTCTTCATTGCAATTTCATATTCATCAATTCCAGACCTTCTGGAGTTACTAAAATATTGTGTAGCCTAATCTGAAAAATAAACAGTTGTGGTGTTTTGACAATCTGCCACACATGCACACTCTCTCTATCTGTTGGTAGATATGCAGTGTTATTGAGAAATAAATATTGTTACGGTGTGAATCCTATCGCACATTCTTTTTATCAAGGTCACTTTATAACGTCTTGTGAGGTTCCGCTATGTATTGAGCCTTAGGGAGTAAAGTCCTTATATTTATGTTTACATTTTGAATCGGTTGTATATTACAAAATGAGAATCAATGTACAATTTGGTATCATACTTTTTTTTTTTTTGACCATTCACAGTCTTTTATGAATTTTCTTTTTTTGTGAAGAATTTTTTTTACATTTTTTATTTGCTTTCATATTGACAAACGTATACATATTCACCACCAACATATACATATACACCAAAAATACAACGTACTCATTCTCTCACTCACACATCTGGACCTACCCACACACAACAACAACAACACTCCTACACGCACAAGAATATGCATAAAATTAAACAATTTATACCTTATCTAATCCTCCCTACTGAGTGATCTACCGTAACCCCCACCCCCGGCAAGAAATGTAGTAACTTTGAGAGCTTCTGACCAAGACCTCATGGCCTGCCCTTTAGCACCATGAGAACGTGCCACAGAAAGCCCCAAAGCAAGAATGTCTAACAGCAAGTTCCACCAATGATGTAATGAAAGAGTATGTGGTGGTTTCCACCTTGTTGCCAGCATTTTCTTTGCAGCAGTTAAGCCAGAAAGCCAAATTCTTTTTTTCATGTCTAGACATCGGAACCTGAGAGTTATCATTTAACAAGCATAAAATAGGACTCTAATTTGATCAAATGTCTAATTCTAGGTGTTAAGTAGGTTCTATATACAAATCGTAAATGAATAGCTCTATGATTGGGATTTTTAGAAGCTCGGTTAATGTTATTCCAAATGGTTTCCCAAGGTATTGCAGGGGAAATGAGGCTGTAATGGTTTTGCCAAATTGTTTGAATTGCAATTGGTTATTTGGCAATACATTGTAGATGCAGTTCCTTTGGTATTCACATTATACAGTTGTTTTGTAAAGTCATGTCTGGGAAGATTAGAATCCCATGGAACTCCATTTGCCTTTAAGGCAGAGCGAAGCTGCAAATATATATAAAAAAAAGAGAGAATCCAGGTAAATTATAACTTCCCTTCAAATCTTGAAATGTACGGAGACCATTGGTATTGAATAACTGTCCTAGTAAATAAATCTATTTATTTTCTATTTATTAATCTATCTATTTATTAAATAAATCCATTATTCATCCACATCGTGTAAGCCACTGTCCGACCGCCCAGCAATAAATTATAGTTATGAAATATTGGAGTATGATAATGCCACTTTTTTTATAATAAGTATTATTGGTTGCAAGCTTCCAAGTTAGTAAAAGATTAAAAAATAATAGGCCCAAAGCGCATTTTGGCTTGTTTTAATGGAACTTGTGCATAAATTAGATCTTGTAATCTATGCGGATGAACTAATTTGTCTTCCAGAGAGCGCCAACAAACAGGTTTTGTGGGGTCTAACCAGAGTTTTATGGTACGCAATACAAAACACCAATAATAAACTTTGAAATTTGGAAGTCCCCAACCTCCCGCTGATTTCTCTCTCTGAAGAGTTGTAAGTTTAATCTTTGGTCTTTTGTTTATTCCAAATAAACGTAGTGATTAAACCATGTAGGGTGTCCCAATACTCAATATGTGGACTTGAAGGCAACATAGGGCTAAGAAAATTTGCCTGCGGTAACACTATCATTTTTACCACCTCGCATAGGCCTTAGTGTCCACTTCCCTAAGTCTTTTTTAATCTTTTCCAAAACATTCATATAAAAATATTGAAATTGATTTACAATTTTTTGAAAGTTTTTTATGAATTTTCCACAGGGCTTCTTCAGGAGAACCATCCGACTCAAACTGGAGTACGACAAGTGCGAACGCAAATGCAAGATCCAGAAGAAGAACAGAAACAAATGTCAATACTGCCGTTTCCGCAAGTGCCTTGCAGTGGGCATGTCCCACAACGGTAAGAGCTTCACAAAGAGCAAACGATTATAGATTAGAGTCGGTTTATGGCTTGATGATGAAAGTTTTATTGGTAATCAAGATGGTGTTCAGGTTTACTACAATAATATTTCGTAACACATATTGTAATTGCTTCTTTGAAAGTCAGTAAATTTAGATTAGAATCAAAATATAAAACAACAACCTTTAAACAGTCTTAGCTTTGACATCGTGAGGTAGCACAAATCTAAGCCATCCAAGGGCTATCACGGGACTTTGACCTGGATCTAGGGTAGTCTCTTCTTTTAGCGAGGGTGCAATCCCTTCAGAGGTAGATCTGTATCATATCACGCCATACACCCCCTCCCATGTCTGCCCTTTGTCCCGCTACTGATGAAGTGGCAGCAGTGTAATGACCTTAAGTTCTACTTCTCGTGGTTTGCGTATAAACCGGAGCCGATGATTCAATACGTTTACACAGCGCAATTAATTCTAAAACAAATAAATAAAAGGCAAACGCATTAACGCAACCGGTGCCCTCTGACCCGCATTTGAGCCGTGGGGATTTTTCTACCACCCAAACTATGTGAGTGTGGATCTGCGCATACAACAACAATCAAAAAGCACCCGTTCTGGTATTTATCATCCGATCTGTGATGTCAAGTTTTTCTCAGACGGATTGATCAGGGGCGTTTCTAGGTTTTAAAAACATCAGGGGCTGAATCCGAAACATCAGGGGCTGGGGTGGGTAATTAGATAACATGATTCGATACAGAAAATAATGTATATTGCAGGCCTATATGCGGGGGCAGACTAGTTAAGAAAAAAAAACCATCCCTGGCACTGTAATCATACCAGCCGAGCCCACATTACCACAGACAGTCACGCACATTCAAAGGCGAGGAAGTTAGGGGGGTACTCCCCCGAGAAAATTTGGAATTTCTCAGACCTACAAGTGTGCATTTTAAGGTGTTTGAAGGTCATAAAAGTGGTATAACAATAGCTTTGAAAGCATGTTAGCATAATTACAGATTCTTACATTTGAGAATGAGGATAAAAGTTGAAATGAATGATCCATGCTTGGATGCAAATGCAGAATGTTTCTGCTTATTATTGACAATCCACAATCCATATTCCTAACAGGAATGGCCTTAATGAGAAATCTTTCAATGATTATTTTGCATAGATGTTATTTCAATCAAACACTAGTGCAATCTTTTTGTGTCCAGAGGAAAATGAGCAATTTATATTTTAGAATTAAAGATTGGTTTCAGCAACTGTCATTCGGCCCCTGATATCTAATTATTAGCTCCATCTGAGGGGAATAGTTAATTTACACATCGTGTTTCAATCGACAAATCAGATGAATAAGTCAGGCTACTTCATCTACATTCACGAGAAACGGATTATGAATCACAAAATGGATTAGCTTTAGCTGCTAAGCGAAATAGTAAGGTCCCACATACTTTACGTGTTCTGCATTAAAACCACAGTGAGTACAGGGCTAACTTAGGTAACGTTAAGTTAGACGACCAGGGTTTGCTGAAGAGTCTTCACCGCCCTGAGCTTTGATGAGGGAACGGCACCAGTAAATGAGATAACTCTTCTTGCCTCGTATCGTTCATGACTCCTTATTTTACTTTTAAAAAGTGTCTAATGACCGTAATAGCTACCACTAGAAGCCACAAACAACAATGACAGTCAAGCCTTAAAGCTGTTAGTTAACCGAATTGTAAATTTGATCTGCTTGAACATTCTAATCGTCTTTAATACACGATTCCAAAAGACAGATTAAAATACCAGTTTTTTTAAAATAAATTATTCAAATTTAATAATGATCAATAATTTATTTTATTTATTTTTTTTTTATATATTTTTTTTTTTTAGATCCGGGGCTATAAAAAAAACATCCGGGGCTGAAGCCCCGAATGCCCATGTCTAACGACGCGCCTCGGATTGAAAACCGTGACTCGCCCTCTCACCCCCTTCCCTAGTAGGGAAAATGTGAACTCGGGATATAACTAGCCTAGCTTACCATGTCTATAAGTTACTTTTGACAAGAAATGGAACAAACATTCAGCACAGTGAGTTCAAATAAAACAATATGTTATACATTGGAAATCCTCATTCCTGATAATTGCATCATCACACAATCTGTCTGATGGCTGTCGTGTCACTGGCAAAGCAGATGATTAAATGTATGAAACAGACTGTAAACTTATGGTTTATTTGGGAAAATAGAACTATTATTCAGAACTACAATGCTAAAATGCTTTCAAAAGCTTTGTCTTTCTGTACCAAATGAAGCTCTGGTGTAGGTCTTCCCTTCTTTAAAAGTTATTGTAGAAATTGGTGTGGATAATAAATTAGCAGAGATGTCCTCCTCACTAATGTAACCCAGCTGTAATTTCATAGATGGACCATCATTCACAGAACTGGAAAAAATGTAACTTGGAGAAAATGGGCATCTAGCTACACGACACAAACTGAATAGGCAGATTTGAAGGGTTTATTTTCTAAAAAAAAAACAAAAAAATCTTATTTACTTCCAAAAATCAAATTAGAACTGGGTTACCTTCTGAGGTCAGTGATGTGGAATAAAACGTACGTACAAAACAAATTGACCTAACAACGTTGACCTATTTCACATCACCTTTAAAAAAAAAAATCAAATAACAGCATGGTTACACTATTTGTAAGGTAATATTAATTAACTACATGTACTTACTATAGAGATAGGGTTTGTTACTTGTAATTATGCATAAAACTGTGTCACCTTAAAATAGAGTGTTACTGAACATTTTGTTAAGCATGTATCGCCTTACACTGGTGTGTGTGTGTGTTTATGTTTTTCTATCCCGGTGGATACTTCAACCTGAATGAACTCAGACTCACGGGGACTCGTGTCACTGTCGGGACCTAAATTGAGTTCCCCATGAGGAAACAAGCTTAGAAATCATACAGAATGAGTTTATTTCCTAAAAAGTAAAACTGCATAAAGTTTTCTAAGGGTTTGTACAGTATAAAAACCATTACGTCTATGGAAAGTCTCCACAAAGATAGTGAAGCAGACGTGTGTGTGTGTGAGCGTGTTCCTGTTTTGTTTGTATACAGTACATTGACTGTGGCAGCATGCATGAGGTTGTAGCTATTTTTATCGGTAATGTGTGTGTGTGTGTGTGTGTGCGCGCGTGTGTCTGACAGCTATCCGTTTTGGGCGGATACCCCAGTCAGAGAAGCAGAGGCTGAAAGCAGAGAAGGATGTCAGCGGGAAAGAGGAGCACCAGCCACTGCAGCCGGACACGAGGAGTCTGGCCAGGCAGACGCATGAAGCCTACCTCAAACACTTCCACATGAACAAAGCCAAAGCACGCGCGTTTCTCACGGGCAAGACCAGCACTCCGGTGAGTACTCCACTGTTCACGGTGTGTTGCTCACAAAAGCAGAGTAAAATGAGACGATAATCAAAATCTCCTAATCTCTCTTTAAAAGCACTGGAAAAAATAACATTCACACCATTGTAGCCGTTTTGATTTAAATGCTGCTGTCCATTTGTATGTAATCATGGTCATATTGATTATAGATTATAATTATTATGTTTTTTGTTGCATTTAAGGCAGGAATAAACTACACGACTGGATGGGTCATTGTTAGTTGCTAAAAGTCATAGCCAGTCAGCAGATTTTAGGCCGGAGATGACAAACTCACGTAGTGTCTGAGAATGATTCCGTCCCATTATTTGAATTTGTCACGCGCCTCCTAGCAAAAAAGGCACGTTTACGCTTGAGTTTGTTGTGTTTGGAGAGACTCGAGGGCCAGCTTTTCTCTGTAACATTTGCCAAGTCGACAAGTTTATGTGTAGCGTTTTAAAATAGTTGTGTAATGCAGTCCAGCCTTTAGTTTGTAAATATCTGTAATTTTTTGACAGTGATTCATTAATTGGAAATCCCTAATGGTTTTTGTACTAGCAAAATTAACGGAGTAGTTCACTTTTGAAAAAAAACTTTTGGTGATCATTTACTCACCCCCATGTCATCCAAGATGTCCATGTCTTTGTTTCTTCAGTGGAAAAGAAATGAAGGTTTTTGATGAAAACATTCCAGGATTTTTCTCCATATAATGGACTAAACAGTTCAAGGTCCAAAAGACAGTTTCAGTGCAAACTGTTCAAAGGGCTTTAAACGATTCCAGACGATGAATAAGGGTCTTATAAATAAAGTTAAAGATGAATAAAATTTTATAAGCTGAAATGCTCGCCTTGCTCTGTTCTGTGATGCGCGTTCGTGACTCTCCTGGTTGAACTTTTTGAATGAATGAAATGAACGAATTGACTCAAAAAAGTTTAAAAGTTAAAGTTTGTTATTTTGTATTTTTAAATGAGCGATCGTTTCGCTTGATAAGACCCTTATTCATCATCTGGAATCGTTTAAAAGCCTGTCTTTTGGACCTTGAACCGTTTGGTTCCCAATGAAGTCCATTATATGGAGAAAATCCTGGAATGTTTTCATCAAAAACCTTCATTTCTTTTCGACCGAAGAAAGAATGACATGGACAACTTGGATGACATAGAGGTGAGTAAATGATCAGCAAAAGTTGTTTTTAAAGTGCACTACCCCTTTAAGGTCAGAGAAAAGAAATGATATTTAAAAAATGTTGACCCATTTCAGTGTAGTTTTCTTATTTGTTTGTAGTTCACAGTAGGCAAGTACTTTTTCAAAAGGCTTTACCGAGTAGCTGGGCAAGCTGTGGATTCAAAGTAGCTTCACTGATCAAGAACTCTCTCTCTCTCTCTGTCCTTCATTGAAGCCCTTCGTCATCCACGACATGGACTCTCTCCAGCACGCAGAGCACAATCTACTCACCCAGCTGCTGGGCAACGTGGCGTCCGGCGACAGCTCCACTCCGCAGCAGAGAGAAGCGGAGGCCCGGCTCTTCCTGTTCTGTCAGTACGCCTCGGTGGCGACGGTCACGGAGCTGACGGAGTTCGCCAAGGCCTTGCCCGGCTTCGCCACCCTGGACCTCAACGACCAGGTGACTCTGCTGAAGTACGGCGCGTACGAGGCGCTCTTCGCCCTGCTGGCGTCCTGCATGAATAAAGACGGGCTGCTGGTGGCTCGCGGCGGAGGCTTCATCACGCGCGAGTTTCTGAAGAGTCTACGCAAGCCCTTCAGTGACATGATGGAGCCCAAATTTCAGTTCGCCACGAGGTTCAACGCTCTCGAGCTGGACGACAGCGACCTGGCGCTGTTCGTGGCTGCCATTATCTGCTGCGGAGGTGAGGCGCTGGGAGAGCGACGAGAAGTGAAGTAGAGGCAGTTTTAAAAATGGGCATGACGTTTTTTAAACTGGGGTCACAAGGGGTCCTTATAGGGCTACATTGATTTAATTAGAAAGTAAATTAGATCCTAAACTTCCCCTGTTCACGAGCAATCGTACATGTTAATATCTCACCTCTTTTGTAAGTAGGTTAGTTGTGGTTCAGGTTGTTTTTATGTCACCTCTTGAGTCCCACACAATAATGGTCAGAGTGAGATGGTGAGGCGGGGACCAAAAACACAGACAGTACCTCAAACCACAGCTTCCTGGAGAAGGCCTATATGCTAAAGAGAGACAACATTACAGATAAAGACACACTGTACAGATAAATGGAAGTTAAAGTCAGTGTCCCTTTTTTGTATTAATTATGGAAATATGATTAATTTAGGAGAAAAGAATGGCATGTAGCCTTTAATTAGTTTTGGGTTTTTGCTTTTGTCTCTCTTGTCTCTCTCTCTCTCTGTCTGGATCTCCATCGGCAGACCGTCCAGGACTGAGTAACGTGTCACGGATCGAGCACATCCAGGAGAGCATAGTTCACGCCCTTCGGCTCCACCTGTCGTCCAACCACCCGGACAACGGCTTGCTCTTTCCCAAGCTGCTGCAGAAACTGGCCGACCTGCGGCAGCTGGTGACAGAGCACGCAGAGCTGGTCCAGGAGATCAAGAAGACAGAAGACGCTTCACTCCATCCTCTTCTGCAGGAGATCTACAGAGACATGTACTGAGAGCTCGAAGCGTTCCCGTTCTCAGGAAGCGCTGATGCACGACAGATGTGTTTGGGACAGGTTGCTTTGAGTTGCTGAAAGACTTGCTTTTGGATCAAGCAGTGCTGGGCAAAGCCAGTGTAAATGTACACTCGTTAATATGTAATAGGGAATTGACCTTTACAAGGATGATGCTTATAGTCCCCTAATAAGTGCAATACATGCTTTCTGGCCATAATGTATTCTCGTAAAAGGAGCCAATGGAGCGAATGCTATTCGAGTGTAGTAAGCAAACAGTACACACACACACAGAAAGAGAGAGAGCTCATTAAAGTGCCATTTGGAGTGTTCTAAGCATGTGTTTTTTTCTGTAGCTTTTGACACATTTGGCCACATTGAGATGATGTGGTGGTGCTTTCCTTTTCCACCTTAATGTACTATTTGTAGGGCGGAGCTTCAGATATTATGGGCGTTGCTAATCAAGTGTAACTTCCAGAACGGTTGACGTCGCATCAGCTATCAGCTCTTCTGGCAAACAACCTAAAGATTTAGGATCCGGCAGTTGCCTCTCCCGAATAAGGCGTGGTTTGTCATGTTTTAATGCTAGAAAGAAATGTATGAGAGAGCCATATAAATCAGATTGTTTGTTACCTCATTTGAGTCGCTTGTATATTGAACATCGTTTGTAAAATATTTTGTATAAAAAATATCATGGTACACTGTATAGCACTCCAACTGTAATTTTGTAGTCGAAATGTGTTGTTTGTTTTGACTCAGTACTTGTATTTGATTGGTAAATTATTGTTTTGTTGTTTTCTTAAAATGTAGAGCCAATGTACTTTTTGATGCAATTTCCAAGTCCCTTGATGATCAGAAAATGCTTTGTAGACTTGGGCCAACATTTGGTTATTTGATTTGATTGAAAAATGTAATTTTCAGTTGTGGAGGTGTAATTGTTTGTAGTTTGAAATGAAATACAATGTTCATAAAAAAAAAAAACATGTTTCTAAAAAACGTACAATCAGCGGCGTGGAAGTGTTTGATTACAGGCGCCATCCTCTGGGTCATCTGATGTACTGCAAGCGTAAAGTAGAAACTGGAAAGTTTGTCCTGTTTGACGCGCCGTAGTGACGTTACAGATCTATGGAGTGCCTTGAGAACGCGTGGTCGTTCAAAACAAACGGGTAGCTGCTAGGGTTTGTTTGAACCATAGACAGTAAAAGAAACGGGGAATAGGAACTGTGCTGCAACAGGACGGCACTTTAGAGCGGATGGATTTGAGCGAAGGATCCGCGCTGGGCGTGTTCACCTGTGAGCTGTGCGAGCTGTCCAGCCCATACAGTTTCTACGGGCAGAAGCCACCAAACACCAGAGCAATAGTGTGAGTACACAAGGATTTGTCAAGTTGCTTAGCGCAGAGAATAGTCGCTCATTGCTCTAATTAATTTGACACAATTATGTTATTTGGTCTTGTCACGTTACTTGTTGTAAAGCTTTAACCCTTTACCTGTCACCCCCACTCCCCTTTTGATAATTGACATTCAAATGCACTATTCACATGGTTGTAATTGAAGAATGCTTTGGAATATAAAGAAAACAATCAGCAGATTACTTAAGCACTTCAAAAAATGAATGTATGGGAAAGTTATGGAAGTTATCATTTACAGTAAATGAACTATAATTTATTCATATATATGGTTTAATATAAAAAAAATATTGTACAAAATGTGTTTTACTATAAAATGAAAGCTATACATCTAACCAAGTTGTGTTCCAAATGTAAAGTGGATATCAGAAAAACTGAAGTTCCCATGAGATTTTGTTTAGGCGTAGTAGCAAAAATAGCCACCGGGTGCCATTGAATTCCATTGAATTGACAAATAAATTTCTATCCAAAATACTAAATATGGAACCTTGAGACTCAGACCTTTCTGACAATATGTGTTTTGTCAAGATTATAAAAGGTTTTGATAATAAATTATGAACGATATGTTCTAATAATGTTTTAGGATGAACTTTTAGCACTAAAAAAGAAAATTTCATTTATTATAAGTGTGTGAGTCGACTTTTTGTGACAAAGGTGAGGCGCACTTGTCATAAATTCATATATTACTGTTCATTCACAATTTGTAAGAAAAAAACAGTGCCATTTGAAATTGTCTTCTGTAATGATGATTTTTATCAAACTTGTATATTTAAGTTCGGAAGTGAAATGACGGAACTTAAATATACAAGTTTGATAAAAATCATCATTAAAGAAGAAAATTTCAAATGGCATTTAGAGGCTTTTGCATCTTTTTGCATCCCCCTCCCCACTACCACCATACTGCCCATATTGTGTTTGTAGATTTCTATTTCCATCCTTCCTCCTATGTAACAATTGCCATTGTCAATCCTGTACAAAATAAAATATGATAATATAATATAAGACAACCTTCCTAATTCTAGTTCTAGATTCTAATTCTACAGCATTGACAATGGCAATATTGATGATGATAATAGTAATAATAATAATAATAATAAATGACAATGATGATGGCAGTGGTGATCACAACGGTGAGAGCAAAAGACAGCAACAACAGCAATTACAACATTGGAACAACAAAAAAATAAAATAAAAGTGAAAATAGTAATCATAACAGTGACAGTAAAGATAGTAATAACAATGAGGATAGAAACAAGTTCAAAGAACTAAAATGCACAAATATTCGTGGGTTGGTTCAGAAGGTGGGTGGAGTGAGAGTAAGAACAGAGAGAGGATTCATAGCTGTAAGAGGTCAGAAAGTGTTGGACGGCAGAGGTCAGTTTCAGATGTGTAATCATGAAGGGGAGATGCGAGTTCCATTGCAATGAAGTCTGTTATAAGATTTTTCCAAATGTTAATATGTAATTTATTTCTGGTTTTCCAGTTCACGAGGATAGTTTTCTTGGCGATGGTTAGCGCTATGAGGAGTATTTTAGAATTTATAGTTTTGTCAGTGATTATTGTGAGGTCCCCCAGCAAGCAAAGGGAATTGTGTGACCTCTTCCCAAAAGTGTTTGATTGGAGTGCAGTGCCAGGTTGCATGGATGTATGTATCTGTAGAATTTTGATTGCAATGTGTGCAAACTACTGATGTGAAACCCATTTTACCTAATCTATTGCCTGTCTAATGTGTTCTGTGGAGTATTTTGTATTGTATTAACTGAAGGTTGGCATTTTTGGACATGAAATAGATGTTTTTACAGATTTGGGTCCAGAAGTTGGCATCAGGGGCTACTGAAAGATCGTTTTCCCATTTTATTATTGGTAAGTATATAGCCTGAAGTTGATTTGAGATCATTTTGTATATTTTAGAGAGCAGTTTCTTTGGAGAGGAAATGTTGACCAAGTCTGATATTGTTGGTGGAAGTTCTAAATTTGTATCTCTGATGTTTATTTTTGCCAGGACAGAAGATTTGATTTGTAGGTATTTTAGAAATTCGTTGTTCCGGATGCCATACTCCTGGGCCAGTTGTGGAAATGGTTTAAATGTGTTAGATTTGAAAATATGCTTGATGTGGGCGATACCCCTTTCCGCCCATGTGTGAAAATTCTATGTTTTTGTATTGCTTATAAAGTCACGGTTGTTCCATAGTGGAGTGAGGTTAGATGGAGCTAATGTAGAGTTTGTGATTTGGTGAAATTTCCACCAGGCTGTCAGAGTGGCGGCTATAGTCACTGCCTTAAAACATGTGTGTTGTTGAATTGATTTGGTGAGGAACGGTATGTCAGCTATATTTAATTGTTTGCATAGTGATTGTTCTATATCTAGCCATATAATATCAGATTGGGTGGGGTGAATCCATTTGTATATGTATTGCAGTTGGTTAGCCATTGAGTAATATTGGAAATTTGGTCCTTCTAGTCCTCCTTGAACCTTGCTTTTTTGAAGTGTAGTGAGTTTTATCCTTGGAGTGGAGTCTAGTGATTTAAACCAGGTGAGTGTGGGGTGGGTTGGAATCATTGAGAATAGGTAGTTCATTTTTGGTCGAATCGTCATTCTTATTGCTGCTATCCTGCCGAGGCACCTGAGCAAATCGTCTTCTATTTTTTTTTAGCAGTGGTGTGAAGTTGAGTGTTACCAACTCTGACAGGAAATCTTAATGGCCAAGTAAGTGATGTGATCCTGACAAATAGGTATTGGTGATTGATGGGGTGCCACATCCCATTTGGTTTTATGTAAAGGGAGGATGGAGGATTTATTCCAGTTTATTTTTGAGAAGGACTGGATTGTTTTGATTATTTCTTGAGTAGATGTTAGGGGTTCTTGTATATATAGTAGGATATCATCTGCATAAAGTGAGATTTGATGTATTTGTTGTGGTGTTTCAATAGCTTTGATTGCTGGGTTTTGACGGATAGCTGCTGCTAAAGGTTCAATAAAAATGGTAAATAGGGATGGAGAGAGTGGACATCCCTGCCTCGTCCCCCTGTGCAGTGCGAAGCTTTGTGATGTTAGTCCGCTCGTTGTGACTGTGGCCGATGGTGATGTGTATATTATAATATCTTGATCCAGTTAATAAATGACTCTCCAAATCCGAATTTTTTGTAACGTGGTGAATAAAAATTTCCAGTTGACCCTGTCAAAAGCTTTTTCGGCGTCTAATGTGGCAATGAGGGTATCTTTCTGTTGTGTTGATGAGTAGTGCATTAAATTGTATAATCTGCAGGTGTTATTAGATGCATGAAGCCAGGCTGATCAGGATGGATTATATATGTAATAATTTGTTCAATTCTATGGGCTAATGCTTTGCTAATAATTTTTACGTCGACATTTATAAGTGAGATAGGACGATAGTTAGATGTGAAGGTGTGGTCTTTGTTAGGTTTAGGAATGAGTGATATAAGTGCTGTATTCATGTGGGAAGGGAGCTTTGCATTGTGTTTTGTTATTGTTCTGCTAAATAGTGGGTATAAGGTTGACCAAAAATGTTTGTCGAACTCAGCAGGGAAGCCATCTGGACCTGGTGCTTTATTATTTTGCATGCTTTTCAATGCGGCGTGAAGTGTTTATTTGTTCCATGTTGAGTTTTGGTAGAATGATGTTATCGAGGAATTGGGTTATGTCTTCTTGGTTCGGATCAAGATCGGATGAGTGTAATTTAGTATAGTAATCTTGAAATATCCTGTTTATCTCAACTGGTGAAGTGTTTAGCTTCCCTGCCGAGTTTCTGATGGAGGTTGTAGCTGTTCCTTTTTTTGTTTCTTTTAATTTGACTAGCTATACATTTTCTGGATTTATTGCTATGGTGAAAAGTTTCTTGACGGAGCCTGTGAATCAGAAATTGGTTTCTTTTGTTTATTATTTCATTGAGCAACATTTTTTTGTCTGTAATGTCTTTATAGATGCTTTCTGATTGATTATTTGCGTGTAAAATACGCAAATTAATACGCCTTTTTCTTTTTATGTACTGAATATGATATAATTTTCCCCCGTAAAACTACTTTCCATGTTTCCCAGAGCAGCGATGCTGACGACTTTGGAGAGTCATTTATTTCAAGGAAGGATGTCCACTCTCTTTTGAAGTAACTGTCAAATTCTGGATCTTTCAATAGTGATGTATTAAAATGATGTATTAAAATACATAAAAGGTGTAGAATAAAAGGTGATATATATATATATATATATATAATTTCTATACTCTTTTATATGATATACAGGTTAGTAATAATAATATACCCCCAAAATAAAAATTATAAATAAAAATACATAAATACTCAGTAAGGCCTGGAAGGTTGTTTGAAAGAGGTCTCTTATACATAGCAATATGGAATTGAGTGAATATTAACAGTAATATTGTGAAACACTACTACAATTGCAATTGTTTTTTGTTTGAATGTATTATAAAACATAGGCATTTGTTTTCCTGTGAAGGCAAAGCTCCATTACTGTAGTTGTCAGTTCAAGATCTTGCAGAACTTAAATGTGGATTTGGTGAAAAGTAAATAGTAGTAATTATTATTAGCTGAAAATGGTTGTGCTGCTTATTGAAATATGGAGGTGTTTTTATTTTTGCATGTAGATTTTTGTGATAAACGGAAAAATAAATGGGTAATGTAATATAGAAATGGGAATTATCAGCAAATAGAAATGTGTTATGACTTTGTATTGCACAGTTGACATATTTACAGTGCAAGACTATGGATATGAGTTTGGAGCAAGAGTTAAAACAAAATGGAATTGGGTCATGAATGATGTAAATTAGGACAGCTCTAAAAAGGTAAATATTGTCATAAAGGAGCATAGGTTTTCCATGTGTGGTTGAATGATGTCAGTGATTAAGATGCGCTTTGTCCCGCAGGCTCTTGGAGGAATGTTACGGCACGAAGGATCCTTTCTGCCCGGAGAGAGAGAAGTTCCTCGTTTTAGGATCCAAGTGCTGTCTGTGCAGTAAGACGGTGTGTGTAGGAACGGTACGTGTGTGTGACTACGTGGAACATGTCTTCTTTTGATGAGTTAACTAAAAAGTCAGTCCTTAATATATTGTGTATATGAAAGCAATCAATCACAATGTATATTTGAACACATCAATAATCTTGTTTTTCCATCAATGACAGGAGTGCAGTCTGTTCTACACCAAACGCTTTTGTGTGCCATGTGTGCGGGATCATCTTCATCAGTTTCCAGAGCAGGTTCAGAATGAGGTGCAGAGGAAGAAGAGCGTCCAGAAGGCGTCGTGTTCAGTTACGAACAGAGGACAGTAGTGAGCCTTCTGTCCAGACAGGGGATATACGTTTGTCTGTTTTGATGGAAGTTGTGTTTTGTGACGAGTGTTTGTTCTATATGTCAACTATGAAAGAAATAATGTTAATTTGCATGATGATAAAATGATATAGATGAGTTTTGAAGCTGTTGTTGGAGGAATGCAGAATTGATGTGAACATGGCCAATATATACATCACATCATATATGGAAAAAGTCAGTTGTATGGTGTAGATGTTATCATTGAAGGGATAGTTCACTTAAAAATGAAAATGTGCTTTTACTCAACCTCATGCACAAAATATCAGTTAAAGTAATGTTGGAAAACCGAGTTGACGGCTCCCATTGACTTCCAAGTAGAGAGTTACTCCAGTCGGTGCTGTCCAATTCGAGGGTAACATTTTATTTGTGATACACTATCCCTTGATAAAAGATGGTGCCTGGCTTGATTTAACATTGCTATGTAGAAATATGAGCCACTCTTTAGTGGATTTTATGCTGACCAATAAGAAGCCAGTATTGGAACTATTCCTTTATGGCTTTCATTTTTGCCTTGGTTGATACACAATTTGATACTTGCCATTCTAAAGGCATGTTCACAAAAAGAAGTGTTGAAATAAACAGATCTATATTGATCAAAGAATTGTGTCCACACAGCGTGCAGAAACATTGTTTATTCTGTTGTACCACTTGAAACGGTTCTAAAAGTAGCGTTCCTTGATGAAACTGTGTGTTATTGGTATACGCTAACCTGTCACATGATTAGGTACACCTGCTTGTTAACTCAGATCTAATTAGCCAATCACAGAGCAGCATCTCATGCATTCGGGCCTTTAAATGCCTCGCTGAAATCAGAGGAGAATTGCCAGACTGGCTGGAGCTGATGGAGAGGCAACACAACAGTCGCTCAGCAGTCGCCTTGTTACAACTGAGGTATGTAGCAAAGCATCTCTGAACCCACAACACGTGGGTTTGTCAGTGAACGTTCTAATTTGATTGAAATGTAAGGTTTAATCCTGTTTGTTTTTGTGAAGGTCCAAGATGTGAAGTTGCTGTTGAAAGCGGTCTAGCTGAGGATGTTTTCCACACAGAACAGTGAGGTGAGACTGCAGTTTCAGGAGTTCCTCTCTCTGAGCGGACGTCAGCCGGAGCAGAGGCCGTTTCCTGGCGTGGTGCAGTCGGCTCTGTCTCAGCCCGCTTGCTCCGAGGTTTACAGGCAGGCAGCTCTATCTGGACTGGGTGTATGTATCCCTCCCTCTCAGACTGCCTCATTCAGTGGCTTTCGTGCTTGCTCCTCAAAAGATGCGAGTAAGATTGTCTCTTGCTGGCCCCACAAGACGTTGCAGGTAAATATCTGTTTGTGTCCTGACGCTGTGCTGTTTTATGTGACCGTTTCATGTGACACAATACATGTCCTCATTAGGTGTTTAAAAGGAGCTCTCGAGAGAAACTTGTGGAGCTTCAGGCTCACGACGAATCTGGGCTCTTTTGTATCCGGCGGCTGTTAAGGCCAAATGAAAGGTAATGAAGCTTTAATGAACCTTTCTCTTTCAGTACTCGGGCAGTCAGAAAAGATTAGTGTACTGTGTTGGGTGATTTTTGCTTGTGCTCATTGGTTCTGTCTTATTGTCTGTTGTACGCATGTAGGTGTTTGACGTAGAGACATCAGACCTGCCGCTGGAGATGAAGACGAGTCGTCTGAGCACAATTCAGTATTGCCACGCATGTCCCAACAGCAGCCCGCTGGCCGTCGCTCTCTCTCGTGACACTGTGGAGGTACGCCACACCACACCACACCACAGTGCTAAAATGTGCAGGCTAAGTGCAAGCACTTCCAAACGTAATAGTTCTCTTAACTCTGGGTTTTCAGCCGTGGAACTTTGAAACCAGTAAAAAGGAAGCCGACCGCAACGGTCACCCGAGCCGGGTTCGTCGTGTCCGGTTTTCGCCCGACGGCTCACTGCTGCCGTCCTCTTCTGAGGATCAGACCGAGTAAGCTAGCTTTGGTCCTTTTCTTCCTGTACTGTGTCTGTTGAGGCAAAGTGAAGATGGAAGAGGTCAGAACATGTGTATGTTCTGACCTCTTCCATCTTCACCTTTTCCATGTAGCGGTTTAGTTCATAAACATTGGTACAAGTAATGAAGGGAGTAATTGAATTTGTTTTCCATTCTCTGTGTTTGATGTGCCATCTAGGAAAAACGGTCAAGTTCTCGGGTCACACTAGGACGGTGAAACCCTCATCCCACGTGGATCCGTGAAGACTCTACTGTGATTTGAGATCAGTGGAGGAAAGTACTCTTAAAAAAACTCACAACTAAGCCACCCATGCAACATCGTGGACTTTGTCTGAAATGGCACTCTTGTGGACTTGCATCGGCCACTGCATGTGATGTTTTTACTGTGACAATCTGTGTTTGAGCGCAACTACTGTGAACGCTCGTTCACGGCCCAGTGTGGGATGTGACCCGATGCCTTAACGTGTCAATGTGTGTGTAAATGATTAAAGAGTGTTTATTTTTTTGTAGCTCTGTTTGTATGCATTTTGTATTTGGAGAGGCTGACTAGTAAGGTGTAGCCCAGTATGTGTAGGTTTCTGAGTCTTGCGAAATGCAATGTGGAATGATGTATGTGGTGCAATTGTAAATGGCATGTGTTGATTTGAATATAAAGTGAAAGATCACAAAAGCGAAGAAGTCTGTGTGTTATTGATGAATGTTTGAAGCTTATTGAATGCGAGAGGGAAGAGGATTCTGACGCACAGGAGTGCACACGTTCCTGTCGGCAGCTGCTAGGTGAGTACGGACGGCACACCGTCTTGTCGGAACGTCAATGTTGGAGCTGAAGTTGTTTGTTCATGATGGCATGTAGTTTGAATGGTCTTTGTTTTTGTGTTTCTGCAGGACTTTGCTTGAGCGTCGAGAGGAAGTGGAGCCAGGTGAGGTTGCAGCGGGGTGCGTTTGTGCTCCTGGTCGAGAAGGAGCAGCCTCGAGGAAATTGCTTTAAGCAGTCTTCTTTCCATTGGGATGGCTTTTAGCATTTGCTTTTTGACAGGAGGTGTTATTGATCTGAGTTTGTGCAAGTTCAGATCAGTAACGCTGATTAGTCGCTTTGTAAAAGAAATGCAAAAGCTATCCTAATGGAAAAAAGCTGTCTTTGGTTTTGATTGTAGCAATGGATTCAAAGGCTGTGAATTTTTGACTGGGAACACAAGCGGTCTAGTGCTTCCAATGTTTGATCCCGAAGTATAGCGATTGGGCTACAGGGAAGAAAGATTGGAAGCACTAGCAAAGATTATTGTGTAAGTCATTCCTGAGTCACACCAGAAGAAAATGTCTCCAGCAAACCATCCCACGTTTGTGAACTTCTAAACATTTTGGACCTGTCATTGAAATCTGCAGTCTGCACTGAGATTTGAATGAGATATCCAAAATGCTTAGTGTTTGGGCTGCTTTGTTGGAGGGATCTGTCTCTTTTTGTGGTGCGTCTGAGGAATGGCTTGTACAATGATCTTTTGTTGGTACCTCTAGTGCGGTGGTTCTCAACTCCAGTCCTCACGACCCGCCGCTCTGCGTGTTGTGCGAGTGTCCCTTATTGAACACATCCGATTCAGACTTGAGCTGAGGATCTGAATGGGCTGTGTCAATAAGGGAGACTGGCACGACGTGCAGAGTGGTGGGTCGTGAGGACTGGAGTTGAGAACTCCTGCACTGCAGGTAGCAAAAAGATTGTTGTCCAACTCATTCCTGAGTCACACCAGAAGAAAATGTCTCGAGCAAACCATCCCGCATTTGCCAAGTACTAAACGTTTGGGCCGTGTCATTGAAATCCGCAGTCTGCACTGGGATTTGAATGAGATGGTCGAAATGTGTAGTGGTTGGTTGGGATGGTTTGTTTGAGGGATTTGTCTTGTATTTTTTTGGCGGTGTCTCTGAGGAATGATTTGTCCAATAATGTTTTTGCTACTTGTAGTGCAGTGGTTCTCAACGCCAGTCCTCTGCGTGTGTTCCTTATTGTGCACAACTGATTCAGATCCTCAGCTCATTTGTGAATCTGGTGTGTTCAATAAGGGAGACATATGCAGAAGACGAGAGTCGAGAACCAATGCACTAGAGGTACCACAAGTTATTTTCGAGCAAAACAGGCCAAAAAAAAAAAAAAAATCCAAAAAAGTTCCCATCCCAAGTGTCCCAACCACTACATGTTTTGGACGTTTCATTCAAATCCCTGCTCTGGGATTAGTTTGAAATGATCAAAATGTGTAGTGGTTGGGATACTTGGGGAAGGGGAATTTTTTTTTGTTTGGATTTTTTTTTTTTTTTTTTTTTTTTTGGCCTGTTTTGCTCGAAAATAACTTGGTACCTTTAGTGCAGTGGTTCTCGACTTTAGTCGTCTGCAAGTCTTCCTTACTGTGCACAACTGATTCAGATCCTGAGCTCATTTCTGAATCTGGTGTGTTAAGTAAGGGAGACTTGCAGAGGACTAGAGTTGAGAACCACTGCACTAGAGGTACCAAAGTATTACTCGACCAAAAAAAGCAAAAAAAAATCCAAAGGAACTTTGTTTTTCCACGTATCCCAACCACTACGCATTTTGGACATTTCATTCAAATCCCTTAATTGGGGTTTGTTTGAAATGTTCAAAATGTGTAGTGGTTGGGATACTTGGAAAAACGAAGTTCTTTTGGATTTTTTTTTGCTTTTTTTGGTCGAGTAATACTTATATATATATAATTTTCTTAAAAAAGGGAACGTTGGGGGAAAACCTAAGTCGTTAACCTACGGTTAACGACTTGACTCCTCAGAAATTTTTTTTTTTTTTTTTTTTTTTTTAAGTTTTTTTTTTCTTTTTTTTTTTCCCTTTTTTTTTTTTTTTCTTTATTTTTTTTTTCTTTATTTTTTTTTATTTTTTTTTTTTTTATTTTTTTCCTTTATTTTTTTTTTTCTTTATTTTTTTTTCCTTTATTTTTTTCCCACCTGCCCCCCCCCCCCAATCCACTTGATTCAGTCTGGTTCATGTATTGTCTTATTAAACGACATTGAAACTTTGACATGTCACCATTTGCTCTTGTATCATTTCTTTTGAGCATTCATCAAACTTTGATTACTCCATTCACATCTTCAACTTTGCCATCACACAATTCAATTCTTTGATTTTTTTATTCCTTCATAAAGTGCTTATGAAACGCACTGCATAAACACACTTACACATAAACCATATTATTTACTCATGTAGCAGCCAACACATTTATTGCAGTCCCTTCTGGGATGGAAACATCAGGCCGCTCCTACGAGTCATCTTCCTCCTGCTCTGGCCTGTAGGATGCTGTGTAGTGTGGGTTCATCTCCAAACCACAGCAGCGTCAAGCAGAGAGCACGTCAGAATTGGGTGTGGGTGGGTGTGGGTGGGAGGGTGTGTGTGGGTGTGGGTGGGAGGGTGTGTGTGGGTGGGTGTGTGGGTGGGTGTGTGTGGGAGGGTGTGTGTGGGTGTGGGTGGGAGGGTGTGTGTGGGTGTGGGTGGGTGGGTGGGTGTGTCTGTGTGGGTGTGGGTGGGTGGGTGGGTGGGTGTGTGTGGGTGGGTGGGTGGTTGGGTGTGTGTGGGTGTGGGAGGGTGGGTGTGTGTGTGTGTATGCGGGTGGGTGTGTGTGTGTATGCGGGTGGGTGGGTGTGAGGGAGCACCCTAGCCGCAGAGTTCTGTACATACTGAAGTGAGTAAAGGCCAATTTATACTTCTGCGTCGAGGGTACGCCGTAATGCGCGGCGTTGGCTACGCACGTATGCAAAGCCGTTATGAGCATTTATACTTCTGCGTTCAGGTCTTGTTGCTCTGCAGTACTGCTCCGAAACGCTAGTTGGCGGCGGAGAGTTTTAACGTTCCACTGTGTTTAGATTCCTCGCGGCTAGGTTACTACAAGCAATATCGACTGAAAGAGAGCGGATCATGTTGGAGCTTATTGAGGTGGAAAAACACCTCACTTTAGTGAAATTACTAAAACTGAAAGGCACAAATGAGAGAAGACGTCGGAGGAGATGGTACGTGTGGAAATCATAGACAGTGATGGAAACGCGTAGGAGGAACTGCGATGCTACCAAGCCGACCAATCACCGATCTTCCGGTCCGCGTCGTCGCGACGTGTAGTTACATTTTTGAGGAGGTGCGCGTCCGGCGAAGGTTACGCGCAATGGGACGCGTCTGTGCGTATGCTACGCCGTACCTACTGCGCGCACCCTACGCAGAACTTTCAATTAGCATTCAAGACATTCTTAAGATGGTAAAACGCAGTTTAATAGTGTGTTCTTCATGTGTTGTTGGAAGGACAGAGTGGAGTCCATGCTGACTCCAGACACTGAGCAGCCATCCACATCCAGTCAACACTCATCAACATTTTTAACAAGTGACAGCAGGCCAAAGTTCTGTTTGATCTTTTAGAAGGTTACTGTCCAGCCAGTTCTCTATGTCCTTCAGGCAGACGATAAGTGATACTGGTGGAAGTGCAGTAGAAGGCTTAGTACCGGTGTACTGTATCGAAGGCTGCAAAGAGGTCTACAAGAATTAAGATGAGAAGGCCAGTTTCTGTTTCTGCATCCAGATTGAAATGGCTCGTAAAAGTTGTGCTGTAGCATATGACGGTTGAGTAGGGAAGCCACAGCTCTTTCCAGTATGGCTCCCACAGTTGGAAGACACACCTTGACCAAAGCAGTCAGCGCTGGATCCTGTTCGCTGGTCGTGGCCTTTGCTTTTGACACTAGCTCGATAACTTGACTCCCGTGGATGGTTTCGACCTTTTTCTGGAAGCAATACAGGAATATGGAGCACAAGCCAGCCGCCTCAGGTGGGCCAAGTAGGCGATTGACAGTGGAAAAAAGCCGCTTAGGTTGATGTTGTTGCTTGCCAAGAACTGTAGAGTAGTACTTCTTTTATCAATAGTGATGCAGATTCTGCAGCATAAGCATTACTGGACTCAACATGTATGTTCGGCCGGGAAGCTAGCAGATGGCTTAGGCGGACGATAGACGAGGGCCGCTTGTAGCTGCAGAGGTCCAGACAGAGCAAAGTGAACGCACTCAAATGAAGAGGCGTGCAAGAGCCAGTCCGCTTTCGTGCTATGGAAGAAATTGAGTACACGAAGGAGCTGTAGATGCCGAGCCATTCGAAAACCGAACTGTTGCTCGTGAACTAATGGAAAGGCACCATCGAAGAGCACAGTTCAGGGACATTGTCACATTTGTTGAACGTCAAGTCAAAATGTCACCTCAACCTAAGAATACCCTTAGAAACAGCTTTGCAACAACGCTTGTTACCGACACCAACTTTGGCCCTTTGTCCAAAGTGCCCTTCGAGCAGGGGCCGGTGATGGAGAATGTGCATTATCAATTGGACCAGTTCAAGTGAAATCCTGTAAAGGTCATTCAAACATTCCTTGATCCTGCAAGTTCTGCTAGCTTCTGTTCAGAACGCTTAATGCTAGCCTTTACGATGACATTTTCTTCTTGGATGGGTTGTCACCGGACCTCTCCGAGGAAGAAAGGACAACGGAAACACAATGCATTTATGGAAAAGGTCAATTAAGCTTCAGGATGGACACTACAAATTGAATCTTCCATTTCAAAAGGAAAATCCCATGTCGCCACATAACCTTTCTGTGGCTAAACAGAGACTCGTGGGATTAAAGAGGAAATTGGACAAAA